GGCCCAAAGCAGCCTTTACTGGCTTTCCATTTCCAGGCGCTGCTTGGGCTCCCTTCCACCTGCTGAGAAAGCAAGGAAAAGTCCGTTCAGGAATCGTCCAGCTGCCTTCCCCTGCGGGTGGGGAAACTGAGGTCCAAAAGAGATGCATAAAGCAGGCCTCCCGACTTTTCCGAAGGACCGCACAGAAGAGCCCAGGGACAGAGTCCAAGAGAGAGCCGCGAGGCACCGGGCGCAATAGGCAGATCTGGGATCCCCAGCTTCCCAAGGGGGGCAGCACTCGCGGAGTCTTGGAAGGTCCTACTTCAGGATACAAGACGGCATCAGGTCCCTCAGGTGCCCAGGTGCTACTCTGCATCCCCGACTCTGGGGCACTTCTTCTAGGGCTCGGCAGTCGGCGCCCTGGTCTGAGATCCGAGCACAGCACCATCCCCGCCCCGCCTCCCATTCTGAGAGCTCTGCAGCTTGGGGCCTCAGCTGGGCAGCGGGGAAGGGGTCCTTAGCCCTGGCCGGGAGAGACAGAGAAAGAGGAAAAGGAGTCCTGGCTCCGAGGCCCGGCTCCATCTCTATTGCTCGTGACCTTGGGCAAATCACCACACATTACTGCCTGTTTCCTCCTCCTGAACAGGGAGGCGATCGTTCCCGACCTGTCTAAGCCTCGGGGCAGTGAGTTCCCAAACTGGGGCTCCACTTGCAACTATTCTTCCCAGCTCCAGGAACGGTAGGTTGTGTAATCTGGGTGGTCGGGACACCGGGCACTGGAGTCCTCCTTCTCTCTCCCAAGTCCCACCCTTAGTAAAGTCACTGTCCTCACCCAGGTGAAAGTGTGCTTGGCCCGAAACTCAGGCCTTTGCGGACCCCTAATGGGAGGGGTGAAGGAATCCGTACTGGGAAGTCTTCAGTACTTTGCCCAACTACAGTCACCTTCTACTGTAGCCAATGACGAGAGCTCGGACGCTGCGGGACGCGCACCTGTGCTCCCGGCTCTCCACCTGGCGGAGCCTCCCGGCTCGGGACCAGTCAGGGCCACACGGTCCCTGGGTTTGGGCGCTGAACGCACGAGCGGCGCCGAAAACGAAACAGAATGACTTGCGTTTGTTTAGAACTAACACTGGCTCTGGGAGAAGCACGCCGCAAGCCTTGGAGAGCGTCCCTTGGAAATGGAAAACTGCTCCTGAGAGCTTAATTGCATTGCCCTTCTTGCGGTGGTCTCCAAACCCGGAGGTATCAGGAAATATCTGCCGAGGTCGTAGGGACCCGCACAATCCTAGCGACGCTCCAAGCTGGAGTAGCCGCCACAGGGCATGTTTCGGGGGGGATCAGCGTTTCCCCATAACCTGTCCAGCGTTTCAGAGGCTCTGGGCAGGGTTTCAGTCTCTGGCAAACGATTTGGTGGCTGTAAATACGGCGAGCCAACCTCTGGCCACCGCAGGAACCCGGGCCAATCGCGCTGGAGGTAATTCTCAGATATCCCGGGTCCGCCCCTTTCTGGACAGCGCCTCCGGCCGGTGTGCAAAGCCTGCGATCGGGGACATGACCTGGGGCCCATTCCCAATCCTCGGGCCTGACCCGCCTGTGACCCCTGCAGGCCGGACCGTGACATCCGAGTGATCTCTGCGGGGCCACCTCGCCAAGTTCAGCGCAAGCTGGGTCACAAGATGAGCTGGAAATTGCCGCAGGGATAAAAAACGTTTTAATCTATCTGTCCATCGAGGCCTACGGGGGCGTCAGACAGGAAAGGATTAAATGTGAGAGTGAACGACCATTAAAGAACATCCTGAAAGGGGGCAGGGCAGGGGGGGTCAATAAATTACCAGCCCAATAGGAACTTTGATCTAGGAACCTTGCCAAGCTTTCGTGGGTGGTGGTGGGCGGGGAGGGGGGTTGGTTCACTGAAAAACAACTTGTTTCCAAGATGTTTACAAAACAGCCTCCCTATCGCTAAGGGGCAGGGGTGGGGAGTCGGGTTGTTTTGCTGGTGGGGAGGGGTGAGGGCGCTGGAGTCACAGCAAAGCAGGCCACCTCCACTTTTCTCCTTTCAGCCCCTCTTCCCATTTCTGAACTCAGGGTTTTATACCTGCTGAGGCACCCCTGCCCCAGGCCACTGCTGGCTGGTTCCTTCCCGAGTCAAATGTCACCTCCTCCAAGGTTCCCCCCACCCATCCAGCCTAATTTAGCCGCAGACACTCTGTATCACAGGCCTGTTTTATTTCCATTACAGCGCTTATCACGGCTGGACATATTCTTACTCTTGTTTGCTAGTTTATTCTTGTCTGTCTCCCTCTGAGCATGTTAAGTGCAGGGGGGCAGGAACCTCCTCAGCTCCTTCCCTAGAGAATCTGCAGCTACTAAGACAGAGCTCAGCTATCCCTTGAAATTACTGAGCATGATGTATCCATGGAAAATTAAAACTGGAGCCACCCCCACAGAGGCTTAGAGTTAGTCCAGACCCCAGAGCAGATCTACCAGGTCTTCTTGGAGCCAACTCAACTGGCCTTGCTTCTGAGGGTCCTCACCCCATTCTTCTCTCCTCTCTTGAAATCACATCAAACCGGAAGCCTGCATCCTTCCCCTCATCCAGACCCTTGCTTCTCAGGCCAGGCTTTCCTCTGCATCCTCAAGAGTCCTCTTAGGGCAGGCCCATAGCCTGCCACCTTTGCTGCCCCTGGCGTCTGCCGAGCTCAGGGCCTGGCGCCAGGCTCTTGACTGGCAATGGGTGATGAATTGCCCTGTATGGGGGTTATGGTGGCGTCAGCCTAGGTCGGAGGGGCCCACTGCGCTCTGGAACTACCATTTCTGTAAGTGCCTGCTGTGTCCCCCTTCCTTCTGGCCCCAGAATCCACCTTAAGCATAAGGTCAGGAGGGCACTGGCTTCCTTCTGGTTCACTAAGGGGTCAGCTCCGGCCTTGGCGGCTACTTCCCTGGCTCACTGGTTAGGTCCAGCTGCCCCCGCCTGTCAGAAGCTGGGTGGCAGATTGAAGTGGGCTGTTGGGAATGGTGACATAGAGGCTTTTGGCTTTGATTTACACACTGTTTGGAACCTCTGTACTGGAACGGTTGAGAGAGTCCTCAAGTCAAGCTAGGCTCATCATGAAAAGGAGGCCAAAGGGTTCAGCCCTACCTGATGGCTGCAGGAACAAAGGTTGGGGCAGAAGAGTGAAGGGATGGGGTGGGAAGAGCACTCACTGGGGAGTCCAGGAGCCTATTGCTGGGCTTCTCAGGTGAGTCATTCACCTCAATTGCGCCTCAATTTCTCCTCTGTGATAGAGAGGATGGTGAAGCAGTAAAACCAGAAGTCCCTGAAATGGTAGGGAGAGGTAAGCGCACAGGGACTGGAGTCACAGGAAAGCAGTGACTCCAGGGTGCAGTGGCTCACACCTGTAATCCCAGCACTTTGGGAGGCCAAGGCAGATGGATCACTTAAGCCCAGGTGTTTGAGACCAGCCTGGGTGACATGGTGAAACCCTGTCTCTACTAAAAATAGAAAAAAATTAGCTGGGCATTGTGGCATATGCCTGTAGCCCCAGCTACTCCCAGCTACTCGGGAGGGTGAGATGGGAGGATGGCTTAAGCCTGGGAGGCAGAGGTGGCAGTGAGCTGGTCATGCCACTACACTCCAGTCTGGGCTACAGAGGGAGATCCTGTCTCAACAAAAAGAAAAAAAAAAAAAAAAAGGTCCCTGAAACCTGGAGACAATTCACAGCCCAGCTTCAAGGGTTATACTCAGAAAGAAGTCAGGGGAGCCGAGGCCCCAGGCTGCCCAGCTCCCAGCTCCTCTCTGGGTATACTCTGTGGTGGGTCCTTCCTGGCCTTCCCAACCCTCACCCGGTGCCTTCCCCCTCAGGGAGCAGCTGCCCAGCTAAGCCCTAGCTTCCTCACTTAACCACTCCTAAGACACTTTTTTTCTTGGCCTTCCGATTTTCGATACAAATATCTAAACCTTTCTGATTATGTCTCAACTTCCCATGAACCTAATCCAGCGTTGGAGACGTGTTGGTGTGCCTAGTCTCTATATACATGAGAAGATTAAATGCGTTCTTGAAGTAGGAATTTTTCTTTTTAAGAAGTCACCAGCAGAATCTAGTGACCTTGAGCCCTTTAGAGCTCCCACGGAGACCAGCAGAGTGGCCAAGACGCACGAAGCCGGAGGCCAGCTGCCAGGGGGCCTTCCGTCGGGCTTCCTCTGTGTGTTTTCTTTTCTTTCTTTTTTTTTTTTTTTTTTTTTTTTTTTTTTTTTTTTTTTTTTTTGAGACGGAGTTTTTGCTCTTGTTACCCAGGCTGGAGTGCAATGGCGCGATCTCGGCGATCTCGGCTCACCGCAACCTCCGCCTCCTGGGTTCAGGCAATTCTCCTGCCTCAGCCTCCTGAGTAGCTGGGATTACAGGCACGCGCCACCATGCCCAGCTGATTTTTTGTATTTTTAGTAGAGACGGGGTTTCACCATGTTGACCAGGCTGGTCTCGATCTCTTGACCTCGTGATCCACCCGCCTCGGCCTCCCAAAGTGCTGGGATTACAGGCTTGAGCCACCGCGCCCGGCCCTCTGTGTGTTTTCTATGCCCCAAAGCCAGGCCAGGGTTGCGCCCACAGCTGCGTCCCCGCTGCTCTACATGGGTTGTAGGGCCCACCACGTGCTCGGGTCTCCTTGCAAGGTCCTCGAGTTGCAATATCTCTACTACACTACCACCCCTACTCCGCCTTCCCCATCCATGCACCCTCCCTGGATTGGCTCGGGAAGGGGAAGTCAGGCAGCACCTAGTGGGGATCTATCTACTCCCTCCATTCCTGCTTCAAGAGCCTGTAAACTTGGCCCACGACCTTTCCTTCCTCTGGGCGCGGCGCGCAGAAGGCACCTTCCCATGAGCTTAGATGCTTCTCTGGCACAGCAGCAGTGGCTCAAGCTCCACTTCCCTCGAGTCCGGCACACATTCGCGTTTGGTGAACGTTTGTTGAACGATTGTTGCACGAGTGAACGACAGGGTGCGCGACGCTACAACGGGGAGCTGCAGGTGGGTGGCGCTGCCTGCTACAGCCACTGACCAAGCCGTGTCCTACAGTGCAAGCAGGTCAGAGGCATAGCCCATTCCCTGCAGCCGAAGGCACGAGGGGGTGGAAAAAGAGCCGCAGCCCGTCCACTGGGTGCACAATGGGCACGGTCTGCATTGTGGGGAAGGCGGGTGTGGCCAGCTCCCAGCGCGCGGTACGCACCAGCTCCACAGCTAGCAGCTGGAGCACAGCCTGCGCCAGCTCCTGGCCGAGACAGCTGCGCGCACCGCCGCCGAACGGGATGTAATGGAAGCGGCTGGAGCTGCCCCGCGAATCTTCGCGCGCTGCGCCAAAGCGCTCCGGGTCGAAGCCTTCGGGAGGGCTGCGGTAAACTGCAGCCGTCTCGTGCGTGTCTCGGATGCTATACATCACGCTCCAGCCCTTGGGGATCTGGTAGCCCTGCAGAGAGGCGAGGAGACCAGCCTGACCACTAGGCACCTGGTAACTGGGGGCCCTGAACCGACCCTCCACCCCAGTGGAGGCTTTCGAAAACAGACCCTCCACCCCATCAGGCTTCCGAAAACCAGGAGGAAACCGCGATTAACCCGGAAACGAGAAAGCTCTGTGTTCCAATCTCAACTCCTTCACTGGTGAAATGTATGACCTTGGACTAGATGTGCAGTCTCTCTGAGCTTCAGTTTCCTCATTGAAAAAATGAAGAAGAAAATGCCCACTTTGTTGGTGAGGATTCAAATTAAGGAGTTGGCACATGTGAGTTGGTTCAGTAAACGGGACCTATTAGGTCCCCGTTTGGTTTTGTCTGTCTTTTTTCTTCTGACCTTGGATCAGGAGACCTAAATTCTAGTGCTGCACCTACCAGCTGCTAGGGTGGGAGAAATGCACATGACAATTCCTCGAGGTCAGTTCCATTGTAGCGCTCTTCTTTGCACTGAGCTGAAAACCTCCCATCCTTCCCATCCATCAGCTGGACAATAATGTTCAGATTTGGTACCCACACTTTAAGAAGGCGCACATGAGAATCAAACTGGCCAGTCCTGAAAATGTTGGAAGGCAGCTTTCATGATCCCTCTGCCCATTCCTAGCTTTTTCAACTATCTGGCTTTTTGATATGCCTTCCAATCCCCTCACTACACTGCTACCCTCATATCAAGTTCCAGGGTGAATACTCAAAACTTTCTAACTGGGGAACAGAACATCTTGGAATCATCCCAGGAGCTCTCTCTCCTCTCTAGACATCAGTGTTCTGGGAACTGGAGGGTGGCTAAGATCCTTTCCTGTCCTCTGCTCACCTCCTGGTTCTGTGCTCCCCTCCTGCTTCCCCTAAGGTCATGGAGGGCATTTTGGTGCCTGCAGAATGGAGCTTGCATTCCAAGACTGAGTCCCCTCCAAGACACTTCTCATCACCACCTTTGTCTGAGTCTGCTCTCTCTGTAGTGACCTCTCCCATCCTAACCTTTCACTGCTCCAGTTCAAATGCCAGTTCTCCAAATGTGTTGGTGTCATCCAGCACTAGAGATCACTCTCTTCACACCACAAGTGGGATGAGGCTGTCGGTCCTGGTCCCCTCCCTCTCCGAGTGTAGTTCCTCCAGGACAGAATCCCAGTCCCTTTGATGCCTTCCTAACCCTGGCACACAATATGCCACAAATGTTCACTGTGGCAGGAGGTGCCCATCTTTGCCTGGAGCCACCCAGCCACCAAGCAGGGGACTGCCATGACAGCCTTTCAGGCAAACACCCGCTGCTTGGCACAGCCAGATCCCCAGTGCCTGAGGCCACCACGGTACCCCCACAGCCCGGCCCCACCTGGATGGAGTGTCAGAGCTGGAAAGGACCAAGACAGCTTCCTTACAGAGAGTAAACCGAGGCCCAGAGTGAAGAGGGAACTGTACAAGGTGGTACGGGGATGGAGTCAGTTCTAGACTTTAACCTTGCTCAGCCCAAACCAGCCTGATCGGTATTGTAATTCTCCCCACCCCTGGAATCTGGCCCCAGAAGGAGCCCTGGACAGGTTGCAATGAGGGGCTCCTTGATCTTGTGAGGGAGCCAAAGGGGGTAGAGTACAGGACGTACTGAGGGGTTCTCTTTGTTCTCCATCCACACTCACTGGCTGGGAGGGGGTGCTACATGGATAAAAGTGTGTTTTTTATTCTAAAACTCCGCTCTCATTGAGTTGACCGGTGTGGACCACCGCCAAGAGCTGAAGTGTACAAGATCCCTAAGCTTGCCGGCTGGCCAGGCTTTGGTTCCTCAGCCCCAGATCGGGGAAGTGGAACAAGGCTCAGCCCATTTCACAGGACTGAAGGCTGAGGCTCGGAGAGCAAAAGAGAAGACCGCGTCGTCTGAGTCCCTCCGCCCTCCTCCCACCTGGGCGCCGCGGCAGGCGGCAGGAGGCTGGCTGTGGGCGGGCGCGGCGCACTTACGTCGAGCTCAAAGGTGCACAGAGCCGTGCGGTAGCCCCCGGACACCGGCGGCAGGAGGCGCAGCACCTCCTTGACCACGCAGTCGACGTAGCGCAGACGGCCCAGGGCTGCGAGGCTGAGGTCCGGCTCGCAGCCGCAATCGGGCAGGGGCCCCGAGCCGCCTCCCGCTGCCCCAGGTGCGCAGCCGCACGCGCTCCCCAGCCCCTGCGCCACCAGCTCCTCTCGGATCTTGGCAATGGCAGCTGGGTGCTGCAGTAGCAGCAGGACGAGCGAGGTGCTGGCACTGGCCGTGGTGAAGAAGGCAGCGAAGAGGAGCTCCACAGCTGACTCCTGCAAGATAGCCCGGGGCGGCACTGAGTCTCCCGCACCCGGGCGCTGACCCGACGGCCCCCCAGAGATGAAAGTTACCCAGATTTACTACTGCGCAAAGCCAGAGGCAGAGAAGTGCTATTCCTACCGCGACTATGTGCACCGTTTTGAAGTGGACTAAATCTCAAGTCTGCCACTTGGGAAAGTCACCTATAGCAACTGACATAATTAGGCTCTATCCCCCCCACCCCCCGCCTTGCGACAGTTCCCAGAGCGAATGTGGGAACTTATTCTGTGCACTCTCCTTGGTGCTTTAAGAATATTCACTCATTCCATTCTCAACTTCCCCTCCCCTCTGTGAGGCACAAATTGCTGCTTTTTTTATGGAGTTGAAAACGGAGGCTCCGAAGAAGTGCCCAGGGTCCTACAGCTAGCACTAGCAGCCGGGCTCAGCGCTCTTAACCACCTGTGGTGCTGCCTCCAACCCCAGCAGAGCAGCCTGACAATGGCTGCAATGCAGCAAAGGGACCTGCAGCAGCAGCAGCACCAGCCTCTTACCAAGGCCAGCCTCACCACTTCATCCTCTCTACCGCAGTAGTCCCAGGAGTCACGAAAGGTCTTCCTGGTCTGCTCTGCCTAAGAACGGCAGAGGAGGGACCTGGTGGCTTCATCCTCCAGGCTCCAGGGCTGACTCTCTGCCTCTGCCCTCTCAAGTCCCACCCAGTGTCTTCCTTGCTGGCAGCACCCACAGTTTGTTTCATACACTGATTCACGCTATCACAGGATGTACGTGTTCCTTCCCCTCCTGAACCTCGAGCACACCGGCTGTTTCGCTCACCACTATATTCCCAGTCCCAGCGTGGAGCCTGGTACTGAATAGGTGCATAATAATATTTGCGGAATGAAAGACCTGGTTGCCCACTAACCTTGCCCTGCACCAGACAAGAGGGTAACCGGGATAGTGACTCCAGAGCCCCCAGCATCCTCCCTGCCCAGCCCCCGATGTCCAGGCCAGAACTGAAGATTCCTGGCCAGTGAGTCTCTTCCTGAGAACCTGGAGGGTGCTATCACCCCTACCCAGCCCTGTCTACTCCTTTTTACTCTGCTCCCCTTAGCCCAGAAGAGTCCCTGTCCACCTGGCTCCCCCAGGACTCATGAGTCCATTGCTCATGTTCTTTTTGTTTGTTTGTTTCTGAGACGGGGTCTTGCTGTTGCCCAGGCTGGAGTGCAGTAGTGTGATCTCGGATCACTACAACCTCCACCTCCCGGTTTCAAGCAATTCTCTGCCTCAGCCTCCCAAGCAGCTGGGATTATAGGCACCCACCACCATGTCCAGCTAATTTTTTGTGTGTGTGTGTGTTTTTGTTTGTTTGTTTGTTTGTTTGTTTGTTTTTCTTAAGTAGAAACAGGGTTTCACCATGTTGGCCAGGCTGGTCTCAAATTCCTGACCCAAAGTGCTGGGATTACAGGCGTGAACCACCGTGCCTGGCCTGTTCATGTTCCTATTAGTTCCGTTCTCAGAAAAGAAGCTAAAGCTGAGCCCCACCCTTCAGGGATGTCTGGTAGAAAGTGGGAAACTGAGGCCCAGAAAAAGGATGACGGGTAGTTGCTTACGGAAGATTGAGGTCTCCCAATTTCTAACTTCCCCTCCCCCAAACATCACTCCTTTTTGGGTGCTGAAGTGGGTCCTGGGGCCATTCCAAAGCTTCCCCCCCTCCCCTCCAGTGCGTGTGTGATGTGTGTACATGGGGAGGGGTCCTAATTCTCCAGGAGATCCACAGCAACCAGCCAGACAGATAGAGGTGCCAGATGTCAAGGTAGCTCATAGAAGGAGAGAGGTGATTTTGGAAGGAAGAGGGGAGCTTTGAGGATGTGGAGTTTGATCCTGAGCCCCTTAGAGTTTGTACAAAAATGAATGATGAGGGCTTTGTAGGCAGGGGGACAGTAGAGGCAAAGGCATAGAATGGCAGAGAAGTGGGTGGGGAAAGAAAAGGGGAGAGAGCCGTTTGTGGCCAGAAACATACAAAGATGGGCCTAGGATTCTTGCCTTCAGGTCTCCTACTGACAAGGGTGGCAGGTGGCTGTAGGCTGCACAGCTAGTGAGTGTGGCTGAGAGTGACTGAAGCCCAGGTCTCCTCTTTCCCCTCATCTGAGGAGTGCCTCTGCCTCAAAGTGGGGCCACACAGGAGGTGGCTCTGGGGATGCTGTGCTGGTGTAGGGACCTGCTGGGGATGCAAAAGATGGGGGAAGGAGCAACTCCTCAGTCCCTCCTACCTTCAGCTCCTGCACGGAGGGCTTGTGGCCCAGCTGCCTTGCGCTGTGAATGATCAGGTCGAGGGCATCACCTGGTTCTGCAGCCTTGTCCTCATGAAGCTTCTCAGAAATGGCCCCCTCCAGGTGCCGATGCAGCTGGTCCCTTGCCCGGATGCCCTGATGTGCAGGGAGAGAAGAAAGATGGGGCAGGAAGGCTAAGGGGGCCAGGCCTGGCCACTTACCCAGAAAACCTTCTCAGCACTGGCTCTGCCAACATCCTGGTGATAACAGCCTTCCAGCTTAGCTCCTGGCCTGGCATATGGCTGGGTGCAGTAAATGGTTGGGGATATGTCCACTGTCCACAAACCATTCTGTCTTGATTATCACAAAGCCCCCTCTGAGCCATGGCAGAGTTTACCGTCATCTTGAGAAGATGCTGAGGTTCAGAGAGGTCAAGCAATTGCCCAGAGTCACACAGCTGTCCATGACCATGCCTGGCACCAAGCCCAGTGTGGCTAGGGGTCAGCCCATTGCCCTTTCCCTGCCCTAGGCTCAGGCTGGGGCATCTTGATGCCCCCGGCAAAGCTCTGACTTAGAGGACACTATTGGATGTTGTAAGCAGTATCCTCTGTAAGGGCACGGGCAAGAGGGGATGCCTCTCCAGAGTTCAGGGAACAGTCACAGCAAAAGCATCCCCCCAGGGAAAGCACCGTAATTCAGCACTTGAGTTCTGTAGTCAGAGGAGATGGGGTTCAAGTCCTGTTTCTGCCACTACTAATGGTACAATCTTGGTAAGTCAATAAAATAAATTTGGTCAATAAATTGAGAATAATAACACTTTGCAGGCTGCGATGATTAGATCAGAAAATGTATCTACGGTGATCGGCCTATAGCATGATCTTTTATACATATTATTTTTATGCAGGTGACTGAAAATCAGGGAATCAAACAGTGGGAAGTCCCAGAACAGGGGGATCAAAAGGCGGGATGGGGCATCATAGCTACTCTGCGGATCCTGCCCATTTCTCTGAAGTCTGGAGAGGCAGCAGTTCTCTGATCTGGAAACCTAGCGGGCTCAGGGCCGGTGGAGCCCATGCCCATCCCCGTGGGTCCGGGGCTGGTGCCGGGCTGGTTCAGGGCGCATCTGCAGCCCTCACGCTCTCCACGGTTCCGCAGCCATCGGGGCTTCAGAAGAGGTGATGAAGGCTGGACCCAGAGACGCCGCTGTGGGAAGGGGTCGGACCGACTGGCCGGACGCCTGTCACCGAGACTCCAAACTCTGGCGGCCCGAGCTTGCTCAGGCTGGAGGGTGTACGGGTCACACAAGCGAACCAGCACAAAGGCCAGGTCCAGAGCCCACAGCCGCGCCACCGCCACGACGCCTCCCACCCCGAGGCCGCCCGCCGTTATCCAGCAGAGGTGACAGACGCGCGGAGTGCGCCAAGGGTACCCCGTCTGGGTCTGGGAGGCCAGCCCGCGTCGCGGAACCTCGGGAAAAGGTCTAGAGCTGGGGCGGCCGTACCTTGCGCAGACCACTGAAGGGCACGTCCAGAGGCAGTGAGAAGAGGTTCTCCACGAGCTGTTCGAAGGTCCGGGCCAGCGTGGCGCACTGAGCCTCGTCCAGCCGCAGCCCCAGCAGGATGCGCGCGGCCATGCGGAAGGTGAGCGCTTTGGCGGCGTCGTAAACTGAGATCGGCCTTCGCGCCGCGCACCAGGAACGCACCTCACGCCGCAGCGCCCCCTGCAGGCGCGGCACATAGCGCTCCAGCGCGGCGCGGCTGAACACGCGTGCCAGGACCTGCGGGAACGCGCGTGATCAGCGCTGGCAGTGGTCGGGCCTTCTCTCCTTGGCGATTCTGGAATAGCCAGTAGGCCAGTTCCGGTCCTTTCCCCTTCTTCTAAGCGGCCCATACCTACACTTGCTGGCTTTTGCTTTCGCCATTTCTCCCAGTTCTTCTCTGAGGCACATAATCCCTCCCATCAAGGCTCCAGCTGCCATCTCCTCCAAGAAGTCTTCCCTGGCCCCTCTCTAGGTCTGAGTCTCCAGCGCTTCTGGTATCACAGCCACAGAAGATGGGAGATCAAAGAGCCCTTTAGCGCAGTCCTAACTTTATAAATCGAAGCTGAAGGTAACGGACCCGCCCAAGGCCACCCTCTCCTTATCAGGCACCTAGGTCGGATTCACAGTGAACGCAACACTGGGGACCCAGACTGACCCATTGCAGATGCCGGGGACCGCGGATCCAACATTTCCACTGCCCATTCCCTCCACTTACCTTGCGCCGCCGCTGATGCAGATCGCCGACGGCACCTAGCAGTGTGTGCTCGCCCAGCAGGATGTGCGCGCTCTGCGGCCACTGGCTGCGCACGAGGCGGTGCTCACCCAGCAGGATGGTGCGCACGTTCTCCGCGCCGCTGACGCGGATCACTGGCCTGCCCAGCAAGTGCGTCTTGAACACTGTCCCATAGCGCTCCCGGCGAGAACTGTGGAAGCGCGAGCCCTGCGAGCAAGGCAGAGCGAGGAGAGCTGGAACCTCTGGGCCCGGGCCGGGGATCTGACCCAGACCTCCCAACTGTCTTTTTGGACACAACTCCCTGCCCCTGGCTGCCCCTGCCTGGCGCGCCTACAAAACAAGATCCCCAATGCGCCTGACAACTACTCTACGATAATGTACATGCTCCTGTTCCTATTGGTGAGATGAGGAAACTGAGGCTCAGAATGAAGACGTGAGCGCCCAAGGACTCACAGCGGAGACAAGCCCCAGGCTCCTTTTCTACGCTTGCAGCACACGCTCCTCAGACCCCTTCCTAAAACCCCTTCCGTTTACCACCTGCATTGTGTCGGGGAATTGCTCTGGGGAGAATTCCAGTGACTTCAGGTCCCTTCGAGGGAACGGAGTAGGTGGGCAAAGGTGATGAGTTGTGCGCGCTTCCTGAGGTCGTGGGTGATGAACAGGGACTGGCTACAAATCCCGTGGGCATTGAGACTGAGGTGGGTCCAGTGGAAACCGGGAAAAGAAGGGATCATATAAGCGCTCGGGGTCGAACGACTGCTCACCTGAACTAACCAGTGCAGCGTTTCGCCGAAGAAGGGCCAGCCCATAGAGCCCTTGGGCAGAGGAAGAGTGGAGGCCGGGTCCCGGCTCAGCATCCAGCGGAGGGTCCATAGGTGCTGGGCTAGGCTAAGCAGCAGGCAAGTGCACAGGAGAGCAGTGCCAGCCGCCCCCAGCACTGACAGGCAGCTCAGCCCCCAAGGAAACATGATGAGTCCGCAGGGCCCAGGCTTCTCAGAGCAGTGTGAAGTGCTCACCTGTTCCGTCTGGAAAGAGCCTGGAGCTTGGGGGCCAAGCCCGAGATTTATAAGCTCGGCCGAGAACTCCGTTCTAAAAACAGACGGGCGGTGGAAGACGTCAGTGACTGTGAGCCCTTAGAAACGTGCCTTCCTCGAGGCCGGCGAGCTCTGGACATTTTCCCAGTTCCTGGGCCCAAATGCCAGTCCCTCTTGAAGATGCCTGCTGCCTCGGTAATGCTCACACTCTGCGGCACCTCCCACCTCCTCCCGGGCTCGGCACTCTTTGGATAGAAGCAGCGAGGGAGGGCGAAGAGAGGAGCAACTCACCAATGTTGCCAACCTGGTCTGCAGACCCCCGCCCCACCTCTCCCTCCTCCAGTCCTTTAACCCTTCTCGGCCCATCCTGGACACGTTTATATAGATATTGGTTGCCTCCCTAAGGACCGATACCGGTTCACACTACGTGACGTGTTTTGCATATTTAAAGCGCTCCACGCAGAGTGGTGATTGGTAGCGGTGGGCAGCGGCACACTCAAGGAGGGTGCTCTGAGTAGGGAGTGGCAGCCGCTGGGGTGCTTGGGCTGGGCTCGGGTTTCGCACGGGCGCACATCCTGGGGCCGGACCTGCGGGTTCGCACGAGAGCTTCCCGGCTCTTCGCAGGCGCTCAGAAAGTCTGCGAACCCAACGGGTAGAAAAGACCCGGGCTTGCGCCCTGCAGCGCTCCTGGCCCACCCCGTCGGCTGGCTCTTTCTGCGATCCCACCCTCGAGCTTCTAGGTGTCCCCCTCTCACCACTCCAAGGTGAAAGGACTAGGCTTTTCTCTCCTTCGCTACTATTTTCGGGGAAACTGCAGTAGCCAACGCCTGCGTTGGCTTCGCAAGAGCCCACTAGGGATAGCAGGGACGAGATTCTCCGACAGCTCCCCACCTCTCCCGGCTCTCTGATGTATCACGTCAGGTATCCTTCCATAGATGCCAGTTCCACTGCTGCCCTGGGCTTCATAAAGACGCCGTAAGCCTCCAGAAGTGGATACCCACAAGCACCTTTCCCGTATCAAGGACTGAATTCATCCTTCCCTCCCTCCCCCGAATCTGCCCGCGGACTCTTGTTAATCCACACTGTTGCATTTTGGACTTTGTGCGTCCCATCCAAGCGTTCCAAATGCCTCAGGACTCACTCGTCCTTGTCCCTACAGTGCAACCTGGGGTGTGTGGAAGGGTGCTGGGTGCTTGTATTATTGGGAAGAGTAAAGAGGACCCACAGTGTTCTGCTCCAGGCAGTGCAAAGGTAGCATCTCTCTGAACCCTGGGACGTCTCAGCCAAAGCAGGGGAGACACCCAGGTAGGCTGGAGGGCTGGGCAAAGCACAAGGGATAGCCACATTCCAGTCTTCAGAAAGAGCTAGCTGTTCACCGCTCCTCTCTTCCAGATTTTACTGTGCCTGAAGAATTACCACGCTTTTCATGTAATATCTTTAAAAACATGAAATACTGTGGATTAAGAGATGATCGAGAACAAGTGCATATATATATTATATATACTTATATAATATATATAATTTATATATATTACATATATAGTTTGTTTGTTTTGGTGCCACTCCCATTCCAATAACTAGGAAATAATATGCCTTTTCTCCAGGAAGCACTTGTTTTAAATCACCAAGCTCTTAATAGACAAAACAACAACGCATTTTCAACTTGCTCAGTATTTTTAATATTTCATCACAAAATCCAGAGATGTACCTGTAATTCTTTACACTTATTTTACAGAGTCAGGCATGGTTTCTTGCAGGCATAAATCCTGAAAAGTCAAAGGGAGGACTCAGCATAAATACGACAAAAAGGAGAATAAAGACTGGATTTATATTGCCATTTGGAACACGGAAACATACACAAAAGAAAATGTACATTTGTTTTAAGTTTTCCAGAGTTCATTTGGTTTGGCTTGTTTCCACAATGAGGATACAGTACTGAAATCTGCTATTTGAAGAAAGTAACCTGAGCCCTGTGGTAACTTCTGTGTGTAAGAACCATCTACCTTCACACAAGCTGCACCTGAAGTGGTTAGCCCCATTTTGTTCCTGTCCTCTCTTTTAACTGGAACCAAACCAAAGAAATCCAGAATGGGGTCAGCTAGAAGCAATATAGTTAGAAATACTAACCCTGATGAACAGAAACAACACTGCATCTTTAGAAAATCCAAAACCTTTTGTTCATATTCAGAATGATTAAATTAAACCACCCAAGTAGAACAAATAATTCACATTCTTACTGAGTTAAATCAAGTTTGATTTCAGGAAGCTTTAAAGATTTGTCTATTTCCCCCTCAGAATTAGCAGAATTAGAAATTTTGGTCTGCTTAAATCACACTGAGATGAAAATGAAAGCTAAAAGTCAGAAAATGGTAGGGAAATACTACCATATCAGACATGATTGCATTCCAAAGCCATATACTATCAAAAAACAGATTATCATTCAAGTCTAAATAGAAAAAAAACTTGAGTAGAGGTGTAAGCTTTTCAAATGTATTTGTAATCAGTTTCATGTACAATTTGTGAGAATTTAAGTATTACACTTCTGCATTTTTCCCCTAAAAGTGAAAAAAATGGTCATTTTTCCATATATAAAATAGTATTCGATTATTTAAAAATCCATACCAATGATATTTATTACTATTTCTTGTTTAAGCCCTCCTGTATCTTCTCTATTGTATTTTTAGATTCTGTAAACAAATTACTATATCATGACCAATACTTGCTCGAGATCAACGTTGAATCACGGATTTGGTGTCACTGAGTGCAAGCGACGTGAAGTCTATGCGTGCTGGGACATACCATTCACCAAACTTCTCAGCTGTTTCACAACTGTCTCTATCAGCTTCTGTTTGTCTCGATCATTCTTCCTGAATTGAGCAAATATATTGTTCTTTTTGCTAGTATCCTTCATCCTAGAAACATATGTGAATGAAGAAGCTTAGTAAAAGGAAATTAAAAGCTAAGCTGTCACAAGTTAAATATCTTGGCATGCTCTGAATTATCTCACACTAATCCTATGCTTGAAAAATATACTTCAAAGAAAGTAGGTACTAAATAAATATACAGATATAGCAACCATGCAAAAAATTCGAAGATTTTACATGCTATATTAAGTGGTATTTTTGCATTAGTATATACATCTAAAATATGCTAGATTTGGCACTATCATACTATTTTCTAATATTATTCCATAAAGTATGCTAAAATACATACCCTCTATAGACTCTGCTAATCACATTCATAGCAAGATAAGGTGAAAGGAAAATAGCATTAGAAAATGTAAAACAGCAACGTTTTTGGCTCAGTTGCATTTCGTGGCATTGTAAAATAAATTTACATTTATTTAAAACACTTCCTCTTGTCCATTCAAATCAAATACACCACAGATATTTTGAAATATAGGAAAATAATACACAATTTTAATTTAGAAATTGAAAATTTTAATAGTGATACTTTTCAATTTTATTTGTATTTTCTTATCCAGCAGCCCCCAGAATCACAGCAGATTTAGAGACTCCCAATAGTGATATTTTAAATGAAATATGATTGAGTAAAGAAAACGTCTGCCACATAATGAGAAGGAAAAGTTCATACCTAAATTTATGTTTAGTTGGACAAGATGCATCAGTAAATCCTATTACCTTGGTTTTTATTATATATTTTTTTCAAATCACTTATTTCTTTACCTGTAAACAATCCAAGTCCATAATGCTAAGATTTAGATAACACTGGTGGCAAACATTCCAATTCCTGGTCACATCTGACAAAATAACTTCTTTCCTGAGTTATAGATTTTTTAAAAAAAGAAAGCTCCAATTGTCATATCCCCAGTAAACATATTTCTAAGGTCAATTAAGCTTGCAAAGAATACAAAGGGAAAGATGTTTTGTTCATATCAATATAAATAGCCGTTGCTTATAAACTACACCAACTCTGAAGGGCAAGAAAGAAAGGCTTAACTTTTGGTCATTCAACTAGAGTGAGCTTTTAAGCTCCATCTAGACTTTTCTTTTTTGATAGGAATCTCTTGTTCTTCACTTTATCATTGAATCAAAAAATGCTGAAATGTCACACAAAATAGTTTTCAGAATATACTCACTTCTCCAAAAGAGTAAGGGCTGTGTTTGGATTCACCCGAAGGTACTTAGAAGCCGGCTGTCCATAATCAGCTAGATAAGTAGACCAATCCCAAACCATAAACAGGTCAAGGAGCTGAGAAAGATGGGGGAACATAAAATGTCAAATTATTTACTCACAATTAATACATAAATTAAGTATATACTATCCTTGGTCCATTTTAATATGGTGTGCTTCTTAGATGAAACAGAATGAGATTCATTTTTAAAATTTCATTAACTGCACTTTATAAGCAAAATAGATCTTTTTACTTTGTTACTAAAAGTGCCACGGGGTGTTTTCTAGTAAAATACTTTGTGTTTTCAAATAATTGCAAAATAATTAAAACACTGTTAATAATAATATATATCAACCCTTGTACTGATGTATAGAAATTTCATCTTTATGCATTACTCAACCAGTATCCAAATTTAATTAATAAAGGTTGCTGTACTATAACCTATACGAAGAATTTTGAAGAACTCAAATTGAACCTTTTTTACTCAGAGGTAAGTATGTTTACCTTTCAAATATGCTGTTTGCACCTAGGCTTTTTCCAATGTAATTTAAACCAAAAGCTCAGATAATCTCAATTAAGTGCATTAAACAACCTCTGCTGGATTCTCTCTGGTGATAGATCCTCGGTAGTATTATGAAATGAGGGCTTCAGGATTCAGCCTAACTCTAGGCTACCATTTTGTGTAAACAAACAACAACAAAAAAGAAAGCCTCTTGTTTCCCATGGTGTCTTAAAATTGACTGTTTACTTTATAATCTCCAGTTAGAATCGTTGTCAAATATGGAAGTAATCTTTTAAA